GCACCTCGGTAAGGAAGGTGCTTCCCATGATGGGCGCAGGCTCCGGAGCGACCGCCTTGGTGTGCTCCCTTCTCTTCATATGATTCCTAACAGAGCAGGGCAGGAGTGTGCACTGGGGCAGGCGAAGGTCCGATTTCCGTGAGTGTCTCTCAGATAAATTCCGAGGGGTATGAGGGCCCTGAACTCTTCAAGATGGTCATAATTTTATCTTTAAAGCTACCTTGATTAAGTAAGGAAGGAGGAAAGAACTACTAAGAGAAAGGTAGTTGGGTAGTCATGAATTATGTAATATTTTGTGTCGAGGCATCAGCCTCGATCAGAGTTTTTCTAGATTAATTTACTTCAACTGTGCTTGGGATTCATCTGCTTCAAATGACTTCTTTATCTGTTCCGGCATCCAGGACTTTCTCAATTTTGTGGAAAATCATGCATGTTTATTTCATTTTTGGGTTCTTCTCGCAAGATTATTACAGCCCGGCAATGACAGGCCTGAAGACTGATCAGGAGGTTCTCGGAGAACTTGTGAAAATGAAAGTGCCGGCGGTGGCCGAGCTGATGGAGAGACACGGAGTCATGTGGACCCTGGTGGTGTCGCGCTGGTTCATCTGCTTGTTCATCGACATTCTTCCTGTAGAGGTAACGGATGATAAAGTCGTTTTAATGCACACGTGTGATCACTAATTTATAACCCTTTAATACTAATAGTTATCAATGCAAGTCAAGAAGCTGTCATCTGCATTCTCTCTTTTCTTGCAGACCGTGCTTCGAATATGGGATTGTTTATTCTATGAGGGGTCAAAGATTATCTTTCGCGTGGCCTTAACCTTAATTAAGCAACACCAAGCTTTTATTTTGGAAGCCACGAATTTCCCCGACATTTGTGATAAATTTAAGGAGATCACCAAAGGGACGTTTGTAACGGAGTGTCACAGTTTCATGCAGGTAATATCTCCACAGCTTTTAATCATGAATTAAAAACAAGACAGAAATGCCTTGCTCCATCAAAATTATGAGTACAGTTTTGAGAAACATAACCGCTAGAATCACTGAAAGGATGAAAAATCTTTCTTATTACAGAAAAAGAGAAACTCAAACTCTTTTTTTAATAGTTATTTTAAAGGATTATTATCTAACTCTATCTATAGCAATCCAGTCATATTATCTGTTATGGGGCAGGCGGTGGGGGTGGGGGAAATCCTCCTGCCCTTTTTACTAGTTCGAGTAGGATGTTTGACAAGAAAATAACTTCAGTGAATACTTTCAGTAAACTATGGGTTATGCTCCTACATCCTTTTCAGGTGAATTGTAACACATCAGGGTAGACTAAACACAAAATGGGTTTTAAACTTGCATTGATAGATATTCACCATAACAAAATGTGAAGTATTAGGTTTAGTCATGGAACAGAAAGGTAACAGACAGTTCTTGCCTCCACTCGGAAGAAATAGTAAGTGCCCTGAGAAAACCCATTCAGAGGTGGGTACCACTGCCTGTCCTTGCATAATATATATTTTTTTCCCTTTCTACTTTGCCCCTGCTGCTTAGTTAGTTACATTTAACAGCAGCTGATTTTAGCAAATCTGGCCTGTGAAATGAGTTTACCTGAACCCTTGGGGTTCAAAGCAGCTTTTGCAGAGTGCCTGCTATGTAAGGTAAGGGGGGCCAGGCTGGGAGCTGCTGCCTTCCCTGGCCTTCGCAGCGCTGCCCCGTGAGCCGGGCAGGATGGGAATGGCAGGGGCCACTTCTCTGTGCAGCGACCAGAGCTGGGGGCTCCCTGTTCTGCTGGGGGTCCCTGGAGAACCGTTTGACCTCTTGTCGAAGCCAGGGTTTTACCTAACGCCTCTCCTCTTCCTCAGAAAATATTCACGGAGCCGGGCAGCTTGTCCATGGCGACAATCACCAAACTCCGGGAGACCTGCGGCGAGAGGCTGCTTTCTCAGGGATAACCCACCCGGCTCAACCAGCTGGTCAGAAAGGACAAATTGACACATTCCTCTATTTGCACTGACTAAAAGCACACTTTAAGCTTTCCGTGAGTTAACTGACACTTGACCAATTTTTTCCTGCCTTTTGAGTAAGTGTTGTTAACTGTGTACTGTACGTCAGACTTGGTAACTGGAACTACTGGAAACTGGTGATTTATTTTGTGTATTTTTTTTAATTAAAAATTGTTTTCCAAGTAGAATGTGATTGGTGTCAGGATACTCCTCCTAAAAATAGTCACTGCCCTTGTCTCTTCAGGGCATTCTGTAATGCTAGAGAAAACAGGTGTATGGAATTACATATCCTTCCTACTGTATTAACTGTGCTGCCTATATCATTTGTACAAAATAAATAATTTAATTTGTCAAAACCTGTTTCTTGTGGGGGTGAAAGGGAATTACCTGATCCTGATCCTTGACCACAGTGAACTAGAGTACCTGTCTCTTGATTTGACTGTCACTACTTGCTGGAGTAAAAGCATTTTCCTTTTCCCCCACTACTGCTGTGCGGAGGGAGCTCCATCACTGTGGAACAGTCAGGTCAAGGCAGCAGTTAACTAGCACTGAAGATAACGAGCACCTTGATAACTCTACACAGCTTGCAGTGGCTTCAGGTAAAGGTGCAGAAAAGCACAGCAACCCCTTCTCACTGATTACACCTCCTATTTTTATGGTTGTTCAAGCTTTTCCAGCTCAGTAGCTTGTAAGAAAGAAGTTACTTGACCCAAACTCTGTAAGCAGTGTTTCCTACCTTGCTCTGAGGGCTGTGGGAAGTAGGCACTGCTCAGAGGATGCATTTCGGGTTTATGCTGCTGTGCGGAGGCTGCGCTCTCGCTGCTCCCCCGGTACCTGCAGCCTCCCCGGGCAGCCCCTGCGCCAGCCCCGGCCCGGCCCTCTCGTGCCCTCTCGTGGCCGCAGCCTCCTGCAGGGCAGGGGCCCTGTGAGGGCAGCGCTCGGCCTGGGCAGGCTCCTGCACTGGAACAAACACCGACAAAGCCTGGCCTTTACCACCCTCTCCTTTATACGTTCTACTCCAGCCCTTCTCCTTCCTCCTCCAAGGCAGCTTACCGCTAGCAGCAGCAGATTATTTCATTCCATAGGCAGCGGGCTGGATTTTTTCCCAGGTGCTCTGAGCCTGCTTTCTTCCTAGTAAAGACCAACTGATTAATAACTTGCATGTGGCCCAAGAACAGCAGTATTTCCCAGGTACAGCTCACCACGTGGGACTTTGGAGTGGCAAACTGCACCCTGCAAGGGCCTAAGCCCATGGCCAGCGTTTCTCGAGCTGTACAGGAAGGAGATGGGATTGAAAGGTGATGTGCAGCTAAGCCCTAGGCCATCACATTGTGCAGGGGTGCAGAGTTACTGCAGGCTTTCTCCTTCTTACCCTAAGCAATGGTGAAAACTGCTTTTAAAGTAATACTAGGTCCTCATCAATACAGTACTGGGCTATGCCATCCTTTACATTCACTAACAGCACTTTTTCCTCAAGTACTTTATTTCCAAGACATGAGCACCTGCTGCCACACCAGAAGCACAGCCCTGCGGAGCACAGGTACTTTCTGCGTCACCATAAAACGTGCAGCTCCCTCTGCCTTGACGTACTGGGGCAGATAGGCCCCAGTGCTCCAGCCTCAGAGCAGCCCATTCGGCTCTGACTGCTGGAAAAGCAGCAGTGGCCCCTGCACCGGGCCCTGCCTGCGCCCTCCTGCTCCTGCTGGCGTTGGGGCAGGGCGCGCGGTGCAAGGTGCATCCCTGCAGCAGGCTGGACACGCGGTGCCACCAGCACAGCCCTTCAGAGCAGCGCGGGGCTTTCGGAAGGTGACCCTCAACGGGACACACTAACATCCTGCCCGTTCTCAGCAAGCTGCAATTTCATGTTAGCTAGAGCAGGATTTCAAGTCACTGACATGGAGAAGCAGCTTTACGTTTTACAGACAGAAAGTACAAACACAAACATTCCCTCCCCAAAGAATAACAGCAATGAGCCCCCGTTTTGAGGGGACACACACAGGTTGGCCTCACGCTTGTGCTGTCCTGAAAGAAGAGTGAAACGTTAGTTTAACATAATCCCAAACCAAGGACTGCGAGAAGCTTCAGAAAGAGAGTCAAGACAGAAAGAGACTCAAGACAGAACATGAGCACTTACCAAACAGTCAGATCTTTTAAAAAAATGATCAGACATATTAAGACATACAGAAAAAAAAAAAGTGTCTTTATTAGCATTGTTACAGGCAATGCATACATAAGAACTGATCCTTAAAGTGTACAACCCCCAGCCAAGTTTGAAGCAAGAGAATCAGCAGATTGAAATCTATATTGTACACGTGTGCAGTAACAGGATCTCTCTGGACCTTCCAACAGAAGAGACTGAAATCACTTTACAAAAAAAAAAGTAAATAAAAATAACACCCATTTAAAAAAGTACCAGCTCCTAACAAGCTGGCAGAGCATCAAAAATATCAAACAAGGGAGTTGTCCAATCATCAAGAGTTCCTATAAGGTTTGAGTATTGCGCTGTTCACACCCTGCATATGCCAGGCATCGTGTTTAAAGCTTAGTAAAAAATACACACCTAAGAGAAAAGGTGGAGTTGAGATTTTAGATTTCGATGTTGTCAGTTGTTACTAAGTGTCTTTAAATACATTATCAGTATAATTAAATTCCTCACTGGATGGCAGCAGTACCAAGAATGCTATTTTTCCCTTTGTTAAAGAGTTTTGTAGTTGAGTCGATGTGTATTAGCAACATCCCTGTCTGGAATCTTTAGTTGACATCACCTTACGCCAATTCTGAAAAAGCACCCTTAAAAACTTTTAGCTTGTTTCTAAGTGGGTAAATATTTAAACTAGTTAGCAAAATTAAATACCAGAATTTTCAGTAATTTTTGTGCATAGTTAAATGCTGCAAGATGATTTCACATTTAATAAAGCAGACTTTGAGAAGAAGCAATTTGCAAGAAAAGGTGTTTCCTTAAAACAATCTTAGCTCAGGGAAAATGTTACTCTTTTTGTTTTCTCTGCTTCTTGCAATTGCTTTTTATCTACACTGGATTTGAGTGCAAGTCATTAAATTGTTTGATATCCAGCGTGGCTCCTCTTCCTGCCAATCAAGTAAGCAATCAAGACAATGAGAACAAGGCCAGCAAGGGCTGCACCAACTATTATTGGGATCAGCATGTTATTTTCATCCAGTTGGCATTCTTCCACTGAAAAGAGAGAGGGAAAAAAAAAAAGTATACATTAGGCATTAGTCCACCAGCAGACAGGCATATCCTTGAGCTCAGGTTTCCACTCTAAGCACATAGATAAAACAGGTCTGAGTTTAACGTCTAGCTTGGCTTTGCCAGAAACAGAAAGGAAATGGAGTTTGATCCTTCCGGATCAAATCTTTCCAGTATTATTTGTTGCATGCACAATGTAGGGATTTATAATTGTTTCCTTCACGTGCTGTTAGTGCTGTTACGCACAGAGCTGTGGTTTGTGCTCCCAGCACCTCCCTCCCTTCATCCTGCTGGCTTTGACCGCAGCCACAAAGGTCAGTGCAGACTAAAGCAGCTGGAAGTTTCCCACATCTTTGCCCCCTCGATATAAGTGCACAGGAAAAACTGGGAGGAAAAGTTAATGCTCATCTTTAACTCTTCTCTGGACTAGGAAGTGCTCCTAATTTCCAAGCTTTTTCATATTTCTTTAGTAGCTTCAGCTCAGATGTGTTATGAACTCCTGCACCACCTGTAACAGGGCATGCAGAGGTGGAGCACAGCACTTAAGAGCTGACTTTGTAGAATTAAATGAAATTGTGATTGAAATATTTTGTGTTAATATCAAAGCGTGAGTTGCAAATCTTTGATACATTTCACAAAGATAGACCTCTTACCTGCTCCAAATTTGTCTCCATCGATCTTGAAAACTTGTATCTGAACATTGAATACGTTGAGAAAGGCTTTGTCCGAGACCCAGAGGTTCTCCTCCGCGCTGCACTTGTAGGAGTTCCCCACCGAAGCTCTCAGCTCGCTCATGCTGTTGTTGAACGCTTCAAACTTTGGAACTGGGCAAAAGAGAGTCTTATTACAGAACCTTGGAGAACAGGTGCAAGCTCACAGGGCTTTAATTTTAAGACCACTCATCCCCTTTAATGCAGGCAATATTTATAAAAATAACCTTCTAAAGTCAGATGCTGAAGATTCCTTACCTTTTGCTTCAGAAGGCAGAATCGTGCTCACATTCACACCTTGCAGGAAGAACTTTTCAGCACTTGAATTCTTTAAAAGACAGACCAGTAGTTGTCATTTAACCCACTGATGTACAACGTAAGCTGCTAAGATGAGGGCTCAATTCTGCATGCAGTTACAGAAGGGTTTTCGAAGCACAGTCTTTAATTGAAATGCCAGCACCCCACAGAGCAGCCTCGTCCCCTTTAGAGACAGAAGCTTCTCTCTGCTCTAGAGCAGGTTACGGGCAGGGGACGAGGGGGGACTGCTGCTATCAGACCCCCTCGCTGAAGTCGCTCTCAGGCGATGAGGATGGTGCCTGCCCTCACCTGTGCTGCCAGAGCACAGTGTTAGAGATGCAGAAAGTCACCAATAGTGACAGATGAAGGGGATGACACTTGATCCAGCATGCATTAAAAGCAGCAGGGAGCTCCCTGGATTCAGTCCTCAACAGTACAAAGCTGCTAGTGCAGCACTAGCACAGGGCGCTCGGAAACTGGGATCCCAACCACGGGAGGAGACCATGAGACAAACTCACGGCCCTTAATGCTGCATACAGAACATTAAAGAGAATTTAAATCCATTGCCTCATTTCCACCATGAGATGAGATGCCTGTGGCATGGGCTATACTTCTGCTACAGCAGATCCGCTCACAGAAAACATAAAGCCTGCATAAAAAGCCTTGAGGAGTGAGCAATGCAATCCTGTAAGTCATTTCCTTTAACTCATCAGAAATTCCCATCGCAGACAACGCGTGTGAAGATACATGGATTTTCCTTCCTCCCAGTTACCCATACATTAAAACCCTGAAATCCCAGTATTAAAGCAAAGAAATTATTCCCTCTTCCTGTAGCTAAATCTCTTACTCTTGGACTTGCCCCAATTAGCTTGTCCCCATCCAAAGCACCACAGACCCTGCATGCTTTGTCTAGAGATTCTTACCAGCGCAAAGTAAAAGATAAGTCTCGTTTTCTCAAAAGTCAAAGTCAACGAGGCAAAAGTGTTGTTGCACGTCCCAGAAGAAGTTGTATTGTGTGGTACAAAATTCAGCAAATCTAACCCCATCTACGAGAGAAGGGAATTGGTTACAGCTGTCCCACCAGCACAGGTCACTGCTCCCAGACCTCCCTCCTCACTGGTCTCTGGGTTGGAAATGGGCTGTTCCAGCAGCACTGCAGTGTGACACTGCAGAAAACAGCCTAGGGAGCTTCACACAGTGAGGTGGCTATAGCACATTCCCCATCGTAGCCAGCAAGCAGCAGGCCTCAGCCCTGAGGGCCCAGCTTTCACAGAATCACAGAATGGCTGAGGTTGGAAGGGACCTCTAGAGATCAGCTAGTCCAACCCCCCTGCTCCAGCAGGGACACCTAGAGCACGTGGCACAGGGTGGCATCCAGGTGGGTTTGGAAGATCTCCAAAGAAGGAGACTCCACAATCTCTCTGGGCAGCCTGTTCCAGGGCTCTGTCATCCTCACAGAAAAGAAGTTCTTTCTTGCATGAAGATGGAACTTCCTGTGTTTCAACTTGTACCCATTGCCCCTTGCCCTGCCAGTGGCCACCCCCAAGAAGAGTTTGGCCCCAAACTGCCTCCGTTACGGCCTCGTGCACCCGCAGCGGCGCCGCACCGCGACACTAAGCGCTTCCTACCGCCCGAGACGCTCACAGCAGCAGGCGTCAATGAGGGCTCTGCATGAGCTACAGAAAAGCAGCCGTAGCTGCATCCACCTGCAGCTGTGACCTCAGGTCAAGCCACAGGACAGGAAAAAAGGCTGGAACCACAGGTCCCTCTGTATCATGGGAGAGCTTGGACATGTTTTCAGCTTCCTACTGAGCGCCTATTTGCACCAGCAGTGGAAAGAAATGACCTGTGCTGGGGCCACATTTTCGTTTTCATCAGATCTCTCAGTACAAGCTCCTTTACCTAAGCAATATTTAAAAACCCAACTAGATGGCACTTGATACAGAATTGCCCCAAGTCACATTTTGATAGTTTCACTGCTTTTTGAATAGTCAAATACACCTCCTGCATTTGTCAGGTAAGTTTAGTACCCTTACTGAATGGAAAAATCTTCAGTGACAACTTGCAGGGCAAAAGAACTGTGTCTGAGCATTCACTGACTTTATCCAAGTGCAAATCTGAACACAGCACCATGGATAAACACTATGAAGATTCAGGATTTTGTAGAAATCAGCCTGTAATAATTTAGCAAGTCCTATGCAAAGAAGGAATACAAAGGTTTTGAAGAAGAAAAATAATTGTACCTTTTCATCTTTTTTGAGGTAGGTGACATTGAGCTGCAGCCCCATGGAGGCCAGCACACAGGTCCCGTTGGCACCGGTCACGTTGTACCTCCCAACCGCGGGGCTCTGGGGCGACGCGGTCGGCGCTGCGGTCGCTGTTGGGACCTGGCTCGTCGTGTGCCGGGGGGTTGTGGTCATCACAGTGGTGGAGACCATGTCTTCAGCACACTCCGTCTCTGCAGAGAAGTGAATACAGGCAGTCACCAAACAGAAGGAAATTACATAAAAAGTCACTTTTTTTAATCCTGAAGGCGAAGGAGGATGCAATTTTAAATAGCTTCTCCTAACACAAGATACTACAACAGGAAAGATCTTGTTACAAAGGGTATTTTTAAGAAACTTTTAAAACCTAACATGAAAGTGACATCTTAGCTGCTGTTTTACACAAACTCTTGCACCACATGTGCTTTTATTCATTTACTGTCATTTTACTCCTCTATGAAATGCGGAGGAGCACAATCACGCTACGCGGTCAGAGCCACTGCCTTCCTGCCAGATGCCCAGAGCAAGGAGAGCCTGGACCCTTCATGGGCACATGTGTGCCAGAGGCAGAGGGCCAGATTTGGGGCCAGCATGAAAAGCAGCCCCAAGGAGATGTGCTGCTCTGGCCCCTTCCTTCCACCCAGTGCACTAGCAGTTTGTGGGGATCCTCCTTCATCACTCTGGTGATACCTGAAGGCAAATTAACAACCCCCTCTCCAGACACCTCAAGCCCTCCCAGCAGTGCTGGGGCTCCTCTACCCTCCACAGCGTTTTTCACGTTCCTGCTGCCAGGCGTTCCCACATGGCCTTTCCCTGGGAGTCTCGCACACTTTCCCTTTGCAGCCCCACTCAGCAGCCACCTTCCCTCCCCGCTGTGCGAGGTAAAAAGTTGGGATGCCTCCATCCAAGCCAGACTGCCTTCTCTCTTCATCCAGTTCAGCACCAGCTTCCAAGGCAGCAGGAGGGAGGAGGAACGGGGGCCTTGGCTTGCTTGCCAGGAACACCTGGCTGCGGGACCGCAGCTTGTGCCGGAGCCCGACACGGCACCTGCACTGAGCGCCCAAGCCAAAACCAAAGGTCACAGCAAAGAGCAGGGTGGGAGCGAGACAGGCTGCAAGCCAAGGTCACGGCCCTGCCTCAGGGATAACAGCTTATGAGCCCTTATAAGGATGGCAGGAATGACAGCAACCCTATAACTTGTGTCAATTTTAGCAGTGGGAAGAATCCTACTGCTCAAATTTAAATCATGTGCTCCTTGCAGATGCTAGATATATCATATATGAAGATACATGAAATACAGCCTCCACACACAAGCAGTGACTTAACTTGAGCTTAAGAGTGAGAAAATGGAACTCATTTAAAGGCAGGCCAATCACACCTTCTGAACAGACTCCAGGGCAGCACTTCCCTATTTCTGCTCTGTTTCTGGAAGGTGGAGAAGCAGAAAGGAGATGAAAGAGGCAGGGAGGGAGAGCTTCTAATGAAGAAGCTTCCAGACCTAAAGTTTATCAATCCCTGCCAACAGGATAGGGAAGGTCTAGAGAAGAGTGGAAAGGAGGAACTGTTCTAGAGGGAACGCTGCAGTCAGGAAGCACAGGGATAAAGACACAAGAAGGATAAAGCAAAGACTATTGAGTGACTTGAATAAACGTAGTAAGAAATAATAATAGTAACAAAAATACATAGCTGATTGGAATAAAGCTCTGGTTGCAGTCCCAAGATGATAACAAAACAAAAGATAACAATTAAAAAAAGGGAAAGCATTAATATAAAAAAATAAGCAAGGCAGTCGGGATGCGGAAATGAAAACAAAACAAAGACCTTGAACTTGGACCAAGCAGGGCCTGTCCCTGGATCATATGAAGTCATGTGGGTTTTAATAGTTTCAAGACATAGTGATACCATAGGATGAAGGAGGAAAAAAACAAACAAACAAATGAAAAAACAAAAAAAAACAGGCAGCTGTGAGGAAGTGATCCTGGCAACTTAAGCCACTCTAGATGAGAATGAAGGAAGTAGGAATAGAAAATTAGGCAAATGCCGATAAACTTTTGATGCAAAGGAAAATGAAGTAACACCCTTCCAAAATAATGCAATATTTTTTTTAAAAAATGAAAAACCATGCAAGAGCAGGTTAATAAGTGGTGTTGAAAGGAAGATTACTAGAAAGTAAGGAGATTCCATCACAATTCTGGAAATTAAAAAACATTTTTTTCCGATGAATGATACCTGTATCAAGACCAAGGCTTGCAGTAAAGCTTGCTGATAATGGAGCTGGACGAAGATTGACTTAAAGAGGAACATTTAAAGGCAAAGAAAATTAGATTTCTTTTTTAAATGGCAACTTGGTGTCTGCATTTCTTCTGCACATCCTAGTACTCTGAATAGGAAAGACTGACCAAGAAATTAATTCACACCAATGTCTGAGCCAGTAGAGCAAGGCACCATAAAAACATAAAAATATCCACTTCAGGATTACGATGCCTCAGGTAGCTACTGAGTTTCTTGGAGAGATGGGGCAAAGGAGAGATACCCTTGCAGAAGCCTTTTTTTTTTTCCCCCCCAATGAACTCACACACCTCCACTGATCTATTAGTCACAGGACTGATTTCAATTCAACAGAAGCACAAATAGGATTACCAGGCTAAAAATGTAAAGTTCTTCATTTCTCTTAGAAGAGGGGAGACTTTCTATTCATACCAGTAAGTGCTCTCTCTGCCTTAATTTTAAGCCTGATGTTCCATGGGTGAGCAAGCAAGAGCAAGCCATATGAACTGAAGAGGGCTGCCCTAAGAGCAATCAGGGTGAACACCCCATGGGCACAGTCTGTCACCTTCATGTTACAGCAGAGAAAGCCCGAGACGCTTTCTCAGGATAAAAATTTTGTGCTTGAGGCTGACAGAGAAGATAATTGCTTACAGATTTTGTAAAGCATCCTGCACGAAGATGCATGTAGCTACTCCCTACAAGCCAGTCCTCCACCATGCCCCACTGCATCACCAGCTTTCCCCAGAGAATGCAGGAACTAGTGACAACAGCTTCGGGAGGAGTGTGCTGTTAAGTGATCAGACCCTCTGCCAGCCAGGATTTAGGCCACCTGCCTGGCTGAGCTACTGCAGCACATGTCTACACTCTTGCTTGTGAATGGAAAGAATGAACCCTAGTGCTTGCACAAAACCCATGGAAATAGTATCTTCCAGTCAAGCATGCTGACACCCCTACAGAGAAAACCTCAACCAAATCCATTAGCAGCCTCAACAGATGCCACCACACAACTATCAGAGCTTCCCATCCAGTCTGTACCTACCTAGGTATCATTTGTCAGGACTTAAAAAATAAAGTATCATTGAAAACAATACTGGCTTACAAAATGCATTTTTCGTTACAAGATACCTACTGTTTATACTGAGAGTGCCATTTGTCATGTATGCTTCTAAAGTAACATTGCTGAAAGTGATGTTCATATTCTTCAGATTTATGTGCTTGGAGTTGACACATCTGTATTTTGTGCCCATATCTGCCCGAATATCAGATTTCTGTGATACTTTCACCACTTTTTCTGCAAGAGAATTACACTGCATTAGGATCAACAGCATTTACAGAAACAAAGCAGTACTGCATCTGGAAAGGGTAACACTGGAAAGAATAGCAAGGTTTTGTTTTACCTTCAGTTGAATTATGGAATAAAGTTTTATCTGACAGATTGTAGTGGAAATGTATCTCTTCAACTTGGTACTGGTTCGCACTCTTCATGAAAAGCAGGCTTAACGAATGTCCTGCTCCAAAACCCAATGCCAGAATTGCTCGAGATGTGTTTTGTTTACCACATGTGCTTCGTTGCAGCAATGTGGCATTTTGTGGAAGGAAAAAGTGTGCAACCTGAGGGGTACAGAACAAAACGCGTAAGTGGGATAACACAACGGCCGTTCCTTACTGCTATAAAACAGCCAACACTCACATAGCCCGTCTGCTGCCTATTTATAAACATGCATCCGCTCTCCCAGCAAATAGCACGGCCCCGGCACTCAGATTTCTAAGGATCTCAGTCCCTGTGATATTTGAGGAGAAAACAGCACACGCCTGCAGCACCGCTTAGACCTCGCTCCCTTAAAGCAGTGCTAGGGATTTGCAGAGGTGTCTGTACAAGACAAATGAAATGGGGCAAACTCTTGAGTAGAGGTGAAAAACGGGAGGATTTACTGTTTGTTTATTGCAGCACAACCGAGCGGGCGTTACAGAAGCACACAGCTCGGCCTGTGCGGCTTGGCTGCAATTCTCCCAGTTCATTACGTGCCGACCCGTAACTCAGCACCTGACAACAAACTGCTTAGTGCGAAGTCAGTGGTTACAGTTTACAAGAAACTGCCAAAGCCACAAAGCAGCCTCCTTTGAATGCAAACTTGTATAGCAGCACCAGCACGGATGTGGACTATGCCATGTGGCTCCCAGATCAAAGAAATTCCACCTAGTAGCTGTACCAGTAGCAAAGCAGTAGGGATTTTTCCTCTTCTAATCTCATATTGAAACTTACAATTGCAATGGAGTATAAATAATCCAAAATTCCCATTCAGGAGGAGAGATACCACAAATATTGAATTGAAAACCAGAGTAAATGGAAATAAGATTTTTTATTTTTTCCTTAATAGAATTTGCTGTTATATTCACTTTTGCTGCTAACCTGTATGCATAGGTCTGCAGACACTGAAACAGGCAGAGACTCACATAACAAAGCCACAGATTTCAGGCAAATTTAAAAGCTACCTACCAGTAGTCATTTAAATTTAGGTTTAGTCCCACGTAAGTAATTGCAATGATCAAGTTTACCTAAAGGAAGCTGGTAGAATTTTTTCTTTATAGTCCCAATAAAAGATATTTTAGTTGTCAATAAAACTGAACTTTTCTGACTGCATTACCATATATTTCATGCATTTATTATTTGGAACAGCTCCAGGCAGTGTCAGTCCTGTTTCAATTAGAGGAAGTATCAGTAATAAAGGAAATATTGAAGCAACTCAGCCAGAAGGAGGAATTGTCTGGGGAAGCTGTTTTTCAGGCCTACGTATTTGTTCCAAGCTTCAGCTGCACACTTGCAATAACCTTTAAAACACATTTTAAAGCCCAAGCTGGAGGCAGCAGTGAGCCTCTCCCCTCACCTCTCTTTGCTCACTGCTGTTGTACTCCACTGAGAAGGCCACTGTCATATCAGCTACGAGGCAGACGTTACCGCTCGAATCTTTCACTTCGAACGAAGCAGCAGCCTGTAGGAAGCCTGCAAAGAGAGGCAAGTAGTTAAGTTCATGCCACACCAGCTTGTATTTTGGATCCCCAGCAGACACACAGGTACATACAGCTCCATAATTCGGGACTATGTCCCAAATTGCACAGTTGAATTTGGAAACTTGGCAAAGTCTGTACTAGCCTCAGCATCGCTACCAAACTAGTTTAGCACCTAGAAGTGTTTAAAAGACGATACCATCCAAACGGAAACTATTGGCACTCTTGCTCATTAGAGGAAACGCAAACAAACAAAAAGATGTAAGGACTGCTCAGGACCCCTCCCCGGGCCTCCCCCTCGACGCCCTCATGCCCGCCCCAGAGGCCTCCCAGTGCCAAGACTGCCTCTCCCCAGTCACTCCAGGCTCGCCTGAGCAAGGAACAGGCCCTGCGGCAGCGCCGGCCGCCCGAGCACCGCAGCGTCCTCGCGGGGCCCCTGTCACCACCAAGCACCCCGAGCACCGCAGCGTCCTCGCAGGGACCCCGGCCCCCCGAGCACCGCAGCGTCCTCGCGGGGCC